GCCCCTCCTTTCTCCTCTGCTCGTTCCTTGTCTCTTGCCGTCTCTCTTTCTTTGTAAATCTGCTTATTCCCAGTAAGACCCAGGACTCAGAGAGGCTCTTGTTCCAGTGGCTTCCCCCATTAAGCTCTCCAGATTGGGGCAGGACTCAGTCCAACAGAGGGCCTCCAACCTCCAGAGACCACAAACCAAAGATCACCTCTCCATTTTAAAAAGAGAAAGGTGGATTTCTACATCTATATTTTTTATACTATGCTTTTCAAAGACGATAAGACAAAGGACATTTTTTTTAAAGTTTTTTTTTAATGATCTGTTTTGACATGGAATATCTGTCTTTTGTCCACCTTCAGTCTGGACTTTTACATTTTTAATTTTGATTTTTTATTTCTTATTACTATTTCCTCTGTGGGAGTGCGGTTCTGGTCCCCCTCTGGTTCTTCTCAGACTCTCTGTGTTCTAATGGGACGAGAACTCATCATGGCTCTCAATTAGCCACACTTGCCAGGTTAGCCAATCTTTTGCTTTTTTATTTACAATCCTTTATTAAGGGTAACAGTAGTTTTCAATATTGAATTTGCTAGAGTAGTCCCTGAGGCTTAGAGAATTAGGACTTCCCTGAGGGATGCTGAGTAATCTTAGGTTGTTACAACATAACTAGAAATATATATATATTGTTTTACTTTGTATTAGAGTTAGAAAAATAATTTAGTTTCAATATAAATGTATTGTTTTATTTTAGAATTTGATGTATTAAACTTCACAATTAATTTCATTATATTATTATTATTTCTTTACACATCAAAATTCAATGTAATTTACACTACCTAATTTTATTGGTCCTACTTAATGAAATGTCTGCCTGTATCAAATGATGTCAATTGCTACTTATGCTAACTCAGCTAACATTCAACAACATTCATTTACATTTAGTCATTTAGCAGACGCTTTTATCCAAAGCGACTTACAAATGAGGACAATGGAAGCAATCAAAATCAACAAAAGAGATATGCAAGTGCTATAACAAGTCTCAGTTAGCTTAACGTTCAAAGATATGGGTCTTTGTTGATAAAGAGATTTTATTCTATTTTATTTATTTTATTTAGTCATTTAGCAGACGCTTTTATCCAAAGCGACTTACAAATGAGGACAACAAAAGCAGTCAAAACTAACAAAAGAGCAACAATATATAAGTGCAAATGACAAGTCTCGGTTAGCCTAACGCAGTACACGTAGCAAGGTGTATAAAATATGTATATTACAGAGATATTATTGAAATAGTACTGTCCATTTACTGTAATGTTCAGTCACTTCACGTCTAAACACATTAGATAATTTATACATACATAAATGCCAAAAATGTACCAGTTTAGTGGTCTTTAGTGCTAATGCTGAAAATAATGTGACATCACAAAGTTACAGTAAACTTGAATGAACTGCATGTATTTCATATATTACTGACTATTAGAAGAAAGGTGGTTTTGATTAGACAGCTATTAAAACCTTCCAATATTCAGATTTCTTTATGACGATAGCTATAATTTCAATATGTAGCTTAATATCCACGAGAAAGAACACAAAATGTAATTTCAAGCAGCCAACTATCAGCTAACACTGGCGCATTTATTTAACAGGACATCCCCTTTGAATGCAATAGCAAAATACAACCTTAACCTAAAACACTTACATTAGTAATTTTCTTAGTAAGGAGGAATATCTCGAGAGATTTGAAAACTGTATGAGATGGCAGCCTTTAGCTTGTTCATGCAGCTGATATAACCATATTGTTGTACCACAATAGCTATATCACTAGATTTATAGATTTAAATACTACAAATTAAATATTTAAGCAGATTGTATAAAGCCCAAAAATGTGAAATTCCTTTAGCTGATAAAACTACTGTGCTGTAATTCCGTACATAAAAATTGACTGAATAAATGGGGAGCTCTAATATCACAGACAGTAAAGCTCTCAAACACAGTACACAGTAGCGTGAGTCTGATAGCAAGGTCCCGTGCAATCCTCTGTAATCCTGATTTATTTCAGAACTGGCTAATGGTCCAAAGAAAGAGAGCAAGCCAGACCTAGAGGTTAAGAAGTGAGGGGGTAGACAGGACGTTTATACAGAAGTCAGACAGAATGTTGAAGACATGGATTAGAGGGAGGAGAACAAAGAAAAACATAGAAGAACAAAACTCTTTTGACAGGTCAATAGAGTGATGATGGTGTAAAGATATACGGTTGATTAAGATTAAGATTGATTAAGCCTCACGTTATTTGGCAGTTATTATGGCCAGGGCTAATGAAGGTGAATGCTTGCTGCTTGCTGAGCAACGAATAGAGGGAGAGGGAGGAATGGCAGACAGCCTGGTACAAGTCATGTGACATTTCACCCCAACTCTACCTTTAAACACAGATGGCACATGAGTCAAGTGAGGATGTGGCTGGTCAGCTGATCAGACCAAGCCTGGAGTCAGATATCAGGTCTCTAAAGGACAGTATGATAAGAGGGTTGAAGAACAAAACACTTAATAGCAAACAACATTTACTTATTTAATTGAGGATTGCCTCTCTGAAAAGAAGAAAATTCTATTAAAACAAACAAATACGAAAGTATAAATATATTTTAGCTTTGCTAAACATCCAGACTAGATAACTATTTCAGCCTCAAAGTAAAAAATATATAAAAAATAATTAATGAGATAAAGTTTAAAATAAGATTTGAAGTCACATTGTAAGATATAAAGTGACAATTATGAGAAATAAAGTCCTAATACGTTTTACTCTGAGGCAGAAATGGGCTTCAGTACTATCATAGAAAAAGTTTTTATTAATTTTAATAATAAAAAAAAAAGCTTTAATTTACGCTGCCATTTGAAAGTTTGGGGTTGGTAAGATTTTATTATGCTTTTGAAAGATGTTTCTTATGATCATCAAGGCTGCATTTATTTGATTAAAAACAGTATATTGTGAAATAATAACTATTTCAGCCTCAAAGTAAAAAAAATAAAAAGATAATTGTGAGATAAAGTTTAAAATAAGATCTGAAGTCACATTGTAAGATATAAAGTGACAATTATGAGAAATAAAGTCCTAATACGTTTTACTCTGAGGCAGAAATGGGCTTCAGTACTATCATAGAAAAAGTTTTTATTCATTTTAATAATTAAAAAAAAAGCTTTAATTTACGCTGCCATTTGAAAGTTTGGGGTTGGTAAGATTTTATTATGCTTTTGAAAGATGTTTCTTATGATCATCAAGGCTGCATTTATTTGATTAAAAACAGTATATTGTGAAATATTGTTACGATTTAAAATAACTGTTTTATATTTTGATTCGTTGTGATTTATTCCTGTGACTGCAAAGCTGAATTTTCAGCACAATTACTCCAGTCTTCTGTGTCACATGATCCATCAGAAATCATTCTAATTTGCTGATTTGCTGCTCAAGAAACATCTCATATGCTGCTGAATATTTTTATCGGAACTGTGTAACTTTTTTTCACTATTATTTGATGAATGTAATTTTTCTAAATATAATTTTTTTTTGTAATAATGTAAAAGTCTTTATTAGGTGTTAGGTATTAAATAAAATAAAATAATATTTTAAAAATCTTACTGACCCCCAACTTTTTAAATGTAGTATAGCACTATTGCACTATTGACCTTGGTACCATAATTAATTATATGACCCTTATGCTGATGTTTGAGCCACTCTTACTCTCACATCACTACTACATATAGTAAACTATATGGTAAAAAGATATGCAATGTATTGTATATTAATATTCCCATATAAAAAATACTAACTTTTTCTGCTCTGTTTTCATCCCTTGTCTTTTCCCCCCTCTTTCCTTCTCATTCACCAAACCCTTATATGTTGTTTCTCTCAAATAAAACTGCACACATTTGCTCCATCTCTAAAAGAGACAGTGATGGCTGGTTATTGTGCAATAGTTTTGGGCTAGTGCCCCTCGGTGGGTAGAACCCAAATCGAGAGCTGGGTGTTTTGCGTGTGTGTTTTATCAGCCTTTATACTGTCGCTAACAAAATATTCACACAATACAACACAACATCTCTCAGTGCCACCTGTTCTTTCATTGTCCCTGACAATTAACAGTAAAACAAAATTAAAATGGATGACCACAGAAACTCTAGCTTTCTTTGCCAGTCCCACCACCCACGATGGCAACAGTCCTTTGCTGGAAAGAGACGACGAAAACAAACCTCAAAGCAAAAAGCAAAAAACCCTGATGGCTCATCGAGTCCAGTGTCCTCGACCCCAGTGCTCCGCAGCCACAGCTGGTGGGGGAACTGTTTTCTCCTTCCTCTAGTCATGCTATCATACTTGCCCTGTGAGGCCTGGGGCACCACCTTCAAAATCTCCATCGTAGGACCGTGGGCGTGTGACCCCATGTACTCCAAAGCCCTGCCAGACCTAGCTGCACGATTAGCTATGAGCCGAATAAACAAAGACCCCGACCGCTATGCTGTCCTGGATTCAGATGGCTCTGGGTCCAGCCTACACCGCACTCACACCCTGGAAGCACCACACACGTATGGGAAATATGGAGGGTTGAAGTACTTGGGGAAATCGATTCATTTTGCTGGAGCATCTCCGAGCACTGACTCAAACTGTTGGTTCAGTCCTTATGTCACTTGTAGAGGAGGTGAGAAAGCAGAAATTCTTGTACCACATCAATTTTATTACAATATATTTAAAAGCATCAACATCACCACTGATTCTGTCTGTCGTTCTTTCCCTTTCATTGCAGGCTTGGATGGAGTGACCCTTTTCTTCCTCCTTCTCTTGTTCTGTGTGTTGATAAGTGGAGCAGGTGTATGTTTTCTCCATATAAGGTATGAATTGAATTGCTTGAGTTGCAGCAAACCATCATGTATTGAATCAGTTTATTGTATTACTGATAAACAAATAAGCATATGTATGTGTGTGTGTGTGTGTGTGTCCAGGAAACATGGGCAGGGGATATTAGGGGCATTTGGTGGAGGTGGAATTGGAAGCCCCACTAAGATAGTACTGACACTGGATGACTTGGTCTTCATCAACACCACACTCAGCAGGAGGGTCAGTCACAAATGCTCTCTCTTCCTTTCTCTCTCTCTGTCTTGCTCATAGACTTTATATTTGTCTCTCTCACTGTCCATTTCTCTCTCTTTCTCTCTGTGTGTGTGTGTGTGTGTGTGTGTGTAGAAGATGAATGAAGAGAGTATAGTAATAATTTACATTTATTTAATATAATTTTAGTGTGTACTCTGCTGCAAGTGTGATGATACTAAATAGAATACTCTCTCTCGCTTAGGTTTTTGTCTATGTCTCTCACATTCTCAATTTCTCTCCATTCTCTCTGTAGAAGCTGAATGAGGAGAGTATGGTGAAGAGTCAACTAGATGTTAAAACCCCTCACCACTCAGTTTCAGGTCGCAGTTACATTACGTCAACTCCTGAAACGTCCAATGTTGCTGTTTTTGAGGTGTGTGAAATTTGTGCTTTTTTGTGTACAGACATAGATACAATTTGGTAAGTTGTTAGCATAGTGTTTTGGTACTAAATACCAGTAGTACTGAATACCAGAAGGTAAAAACAGTCTTGCTGATATTCAGTACAACAACATGATTCTAAGAGTGGCATTGGTCTTATAAGACAATTCAATAAACGGTAAGTTAATATGAAATAACTTTTCAGACAAAATTCAACCAGTTAGTTTATGCATTTTTCTAAGTAAAGTTTATGTATCTAAACTAAGAATTGACAGATATAAACTCCTCAGTGCAAGGAGTAAAAACAATATTTAAAATAATTTTATCTCACAATTCTGGCTTGCTTTCCTAACAATTTGCAAGTTTATAACTCACAGTTTGTTTATTTCTCCTCAGAATTGAGAGTTTCTATCTTACATTGCCAGTTATAAACTCACAATTGCCACTTTAAAACTGGCAATTGCAAGTAAACATCTTAAAATCAGACTTTTTTCTCAGAATTGCAAGTTTATATCTTGCAAAAAAATAGTCTGAATTGTGAGACATAAACTCAGAACTCTAAGGGAAAAAAGCCAGAACTGTGAGTTTAAAAGCTGCAATTACCTTTTTCTTTTTTTTTATTCCATGGTGGAAATAAGCTTTCATTAGGTTTTCCATTTCTCGCTCCACGCTCACTAATGAAAACAAAAGCTGATGTTTCAACTTTCAAAAACCTGTTCATCACTGCAGGCAAACTACATTAACAATCAAATTAGAGGAATGTAGTATAAAGTAACCTGTATATTAATATGAACAACATACAGCCATTGTTTGTACATCGGCTGTTGTAGAAAAGTATTAGTTATGTGCAGAATCTGCCCAAAGGTCTGCAGAACTTTCACAAAATTCTACACATCACTTGCTCTTTGCATGTTTGTTTATAAAACTGCACATTATACTAAGTAAATTATATTATGTTATAGACATAACTGTATCATTATTTTCAAAAACCAAAGTACGGATAAAAGTGCAGTTCTCTAAACGCTATTTAAACCATTTATCTTATTTAAATGAAATCCATAAAATTCTGCATATTCTCCTCTAAATTCGGTGCCGAAAAGTTGAAAAACAAGGTCATCCAATTCTGTGTGAGCCTGTGGAGATGTGTTGAGTTGTATTATCCTGTGCTGTCAGGGTGACTGGGTCTGGCTGAAGAAATGCCCTTGTGGAGATTCTGTTTCAGAAATCAGTGACAGCACTCAGACCATCTTTATCAAGGTAAGAGATAAGTGAATGAAAGTATTATTTAGCTTACAAGTTGTGGACCGGTTTTGAAAACAAAAACTGAACACTATACTCACCTTCTCACCCTGTCTTCTGTACCTTTTTTGCTTCTGCTTGTCCCCCTCTTCCTTCACTCTAGCTGAGAGACATGCGTCATGAGAATCTGAACCTGTTTCTAGGTCTGTTCTTGGATACTGGCATATTTGGCGTTGTTATGGAGCATTGCACCAGAGGCAGCCTGGAAGACCTGCTCAACAACGAGGAAATGAGACTGGACTGGATGTTCAAATCCTCTCTTCTTCTTGACCTGATCAGGGTGAGGAATTGAGAAGGTAGACTAGTTCAATTAGCAAAGGGTTGAATGAAAGCATAGATGAACAGATAAGTAAATACAGCTCAGTAAGAAGATGAAGATATGGATGAAAATGTGGTAAAGAATGACTGGCTGATTAACTAATGAACTGTCAAGGATGTCACCTGCTCCCATCTCCCCATACTTCTCTGTCCTTCTAATGCCTTTTTATCTTTTCCTATCAGGCAATGAAGTACTTGCATAATCGTGGGATCATTCATGGACGCCTCAAGTCAAGGAACTGTGTGGTAGATGGTCGGTTTGTCCTGAAGGTTACGGATTATGGCTTAAATGAAATCATCAACTCTCAAAACATCATCCTGGAGGACACCAAACCAGAGGGTACGTGTAATACACGTGGAAATTGCTAAATCACGCAATGAGAAACAGGACATAGAGGCTCTCATTATCTCCTCTCATCTTGCTTATTTATGCATATTCGGTCTTTCGGACTCTGATCTGTGTATATTTGGTACAGATAAATTTTGGACAGCTCCAGAGATCCTGCGCAATCCTAAACTGAAGAAGAAGGGGACGTATCCAGCTGATATATACAGCTTTGCTATTATCATGCAGGAGGTGATCTCTCGCTGTGCACCCTTCGGCATGTTGGATATGCCTCCTGAAGGTTAGACACCCTCACATTCCAATATATTATCACATACCACTCAGGTTTTCACACAGTTAATAGACAAACTAAAGATGGCAATGATTTAATGGAGCTGGTTTGGAGCAATTCAGATATGAATACAGTATTCTAAGTTGTGAATACTCAAGTTGTGTATCTCTGTGTGCAGAAATCATAGATAAGGTGTGCTCTCCTCCACCGCTGTGCCGACCCACTGTGTCTGTGGATGAAGCGCCGCTGGAGGTGATTCAGATCATGAAGCAGGCCTGGAGCGAGGAGCCTGACAAGAGACCCACGTTTAAGGAGATCTTTAGACAGGTACACCCTCTTTCTCTCTCTCAAGCACACACACACACACACATAGACAAAGGTAAAATTTTGCATTATTGTCAAACATAAAGAATTTTCTTCCAGGAAAAAATAAAAAGCAAAAATATTCACTATATAAAATATACAGGGGGAAAACAAAACAAAATCTCCTGTTTTCTGTCCCTTTTTTTCTAACTTGCAGTTTAAGAATGTGAACAAGGGAAAGAAGACAAATATAATTGACTCAATGTTAAGGATGCTGGAGCAGTACTCCTCAAACCTGGAGGATCTGATCCGAGAAAGGACTGAAGAACTAGAGGTAGAGCGTCAGAAAACTGATGCTCTTCTAGCCCAGATGCTGCCCAAGTGAGTCCCACTTCAGATGTTCAGATATCTTTTCACATTCATTTTGTTTCTTATAATGCCATTCTGTCTTCCAGATCTGTGGCCTTGGCTTTAAAGACAGGGAAGCCAGTGAAGCCGGAGCACTTTTCAGATGTCACACTATATTTCAGTGATATTGTGGGTTTTACCACCATCTCTGCTCTGAGTGAACCTATCGAAGTGGTCGATCTGCTTAACGACCTCTACACACACTTTGATGGAATCATCGCAATCCACGATGTCTACAAGGTTTACATGAGCTTTTTTATCTTTCACTTAAACTGTTGTGGAAATTGAGTAGATTCTTTCATGATCAATGCTGAGTTCAGAAAAAAAAAGCTACAAAAGCTGTCACTGGGTGGTACCCTTTCAAAAGGTACACCTTTGTGCCCTATTTAACATCAAAGGGTGCATATTTGTGTAGTAAAGTTTCATATTAGTACCTAAAGTGTATATATTAGTACCTTTTGAAAGGCTAACACACCCAGTGATTACTTTTGAGAGCGATCTTTGAGTGAATCGTTTAATAAGACATTCTTTAAAGGTTTTTATCTTGTGATGGAATAAATGAAAATAATAAATGACTTATATAATATGAGATAAATTGAGATAATATCTATGGTGCATACAAACAGTTTTGCATTTCACAAGGAATATTTAATAGTATATATCAACAGGTAGAGACTATTGGTGACGCGTACATGGTGGCATCAGGGGTTCCAAACCGTAACGGTAACCGTCACGCAGCAGAGATGGCCAACATGTCTCTGGACATTCTGCACTGCATCGGAACATTTAAAATGACTCACATGCCTGACGTCAAAGTCAAAATCCGCATTGGACTCCATTCTGGTAAGAACGGCACAAAGCACACAAACACATATACAAAGAAAATCCAAAGGTTTGGGGTCTGAAAGAAATGTTTTCATGTTTTTGAAAGAAGTTTCTTGCTCTTTATTTGATCAAAATCATTACTATGTTACTATATATTAAAAGGTAATGTATTCCTGTGATAGTAAAGCTGCCATTACTCCATTACTCCAAAATCAGTCCATTCAGAAATCATTCTAATATGTTCAATTTGGTGCTCAAGGAAAAATTCTTATCAGTGTTGAAAACAGTTAATATTTTTGTTGAAACCATGATATATTTTTCAGGATTCTTTGATGGCCATAAAGTTAAGAACAGCTTTTCATTGAAATAGAAATCTTTTGTAACAATTTTAAAGTCCTTACTGTCACTTTTGATTAATTGAATACATACTTGCTGAATAAAAATATACATTTAAAAAAAAAAAACCTTACTGACCCCAAACTTTTGAATGTAGCCGGTTAAACTTTGTAGCAGCCTTGTAACCCTACACAGCTAACAAAGCCATAAGAGAGCCAGAATATTCAGAGTACAGTTAAACCAGTTTTTCCAAACGCTATACACCCTTAAACTAAATGCATCATCTAGTTAAAAATCAAACACATAATTACTCCCGTGGATGTACTTTTCATTGACAAAGATGGTCTTGCCTTACATCACCAAACTGAACATTGTGCTAAATGTAAAAATTTATTTACACTTGATCCTCTGATGGCTGTGTATTCCTAGAACAAGTGAAATGTAAATCCTGGGCATCATCCAATTAACAGATTCATCCAATTAGTTAGCATGCCGTTGGCTCATTCCCCCACCCTACAACTCAACAGAGATCACATGGTGCTCACACAGGTGTGTCTGACTCAACATGCAATTCTATGCAGTTGCTAATGTGCTAACTTACTATTCATGTGTATGTGACAGGTCCAGTGGTAGCAGGTGTAGTTGGGTTGAAGATGCCTCGGTACTGTCTGTTCGGGGACACAGTAAACACAGCCTCCCGAATGGAATCCACAGGGTTGCGTGAGTACACTTATGTGTTTAATATGTATTTAATATGGCTGTCTCTGAAGTCGTGATTCCAGGAATTTGTCTGGCTAAGTATCAGCTTGAAAACTCAGTGGTTAGTAGTTTGTGTGTGTGTGCTGATCAGTGAGTGCATGTCAGTGAGAAGCTCAGATGGCTTAAAGTGCAGAGTTCCCTGTAAGCTTTTAAGAGTATAAGCCAAATTAGAAAGAAAATTCTGCTTTAAGGCTAATGTCCTCTTAGAACTCAGGCTCTGATATCACCCTGAACTGTCTCACCTTTAATCAGACCTTCTGCCACATTTATCCCAGAACATTGACTTCACCTTTAGAACGTTTCATGCTGATGAACATGGAAAAATGTCTTGAAATATGATTACAAGTTGCTAATACCTAAAAAAATATACATATACACTGACATTCCAAACGTTTGGTTAGTAAATTTTTAATCAATACTTTTATTCAACTAGGATACATTAAATGTATTGGAAGTGACAGTAAAGACGTTTATAATATCACAAAAGATTTCTATTTCAAATAATTGCTGTTATTTTTTCTTACGTTCTAATCATCAATAAATCCTGGAAAAATGTATTACAGTTTCCACAAAAATATTAATCAGCACAACATAATAATGTTGAACAGTTCATATTAGAATGATTTCTGAAGGATCATGTGATTGTAGGAATAAATTAAATCTTTAGATATATTAAAATAAAAAAAGCAATATTTCATAATATTACTGTTTTACTGTATTTTTATCTAACAAATGCAGGTTAGGTGAGCGAATGGGAGTTCTTTCAAAAAATCTTACTGACCCCAAACTTTTGAATTGTAGTGTGAATTTTATAGTTGAAAAAATTATTATTATAGATATTATCATATTGTACAAGAAGGGTTTGTTTTAAAATTCAGACAGTTTCAAATTAATTTTAAATGAAAGATTAAATATGTTTTCATAGATTAGGCCACAAAGGTCACGCATCTAGTGCTATGTGATTTCACCCACACAATGAAATGACTAAAACACAGTTGTTCAGATTATCTGAAGGCAACGGAAAGTGTCTTGAGTGATGTAATATGCTCAGTGCTTCAGTTTTAACTAGCTCAGAGAGTGAACAGTCAGGCAGTCTTGGACATACTGCTTTCTAGTGGTTTCATATGTCATTACATCCAAGGGGAATTCTGCGTAATATGTTCTTGATGTCCTGAGTCTGTATTAATTCACAAGAAACCAGTATGGGCAATGATCAATTGGTGTTCAATTTGTAACAATAATTAATTAATTTACTATGTTTTTCTTCATTGTTTTGCTGTCCCTGTTTCTACAGCTTACAGAATTCATGTCAACCAGAGTACTGTTGATGTCCTGAACAGCCTCAAACTTGGCTACAAAATAGATAGTAGGGGCAGGACAGAGCTCAAGGTACACAAACATACACACACTGACAGGTATTTCTTCAGTTCAGGCATTTTTATGACTATATATGCACAACTATGGTCTAAACAGATCATCATAAATAGTAAAATAATCATAAACCAATTCAATATTAACTGTTGTGATGATTATATAGTAGATATATATTTCCAGAATTACATCTGTCCCAAAGTTCTGGTGCAATTTCCAGAACAATGTTGTCCCTAATACATTTTTATCAAAAGTTGACCTTGTTTATCAAGAAGATAATAGTGTCAGTGAAGACCACACTTGAGATGGAACATGAGACATGTTGTGTGAAGATAAAAACCAAGGCAAATGCCTCTTGAATGCTAGCCATAAAATTAACAAAAGAAAAAAATTAATTTTAATGTTCTAAATTTCCATCACAATCATTTTGACCACAGAATGTTATTACACACAATTAATTTAATGGAAATTACACTTCAGGACTTTCAGAAACAAAATGACAAAAATAACAGAATTGTTCTGTTGCACAAAATAAATAAAATAGTGTGAGGGTGAAAATGTTTTAGCATTTGCCAAGAAACCTTCTGGGATCACACACGACACTATACAGTATTGTGCTTAATACCTCTAAAATGTCTTGACGAATATCATATGAGCTCCTGTCATTCTCTAACAGGGTAAAGGTGTAGAGGAAACATTCTGGTTGGTTGGGAGAGATGGATACAACAAGCCATTACCTGTACCGCCAGACCTTACTCCTGGGTAAGAAAGAAACCAGTTCTATCTGTATGTGCATCACTATATGATGTCTATAATGTAGAGAGTTGATAACTTTATGTTGCCACAAAGGGCGAGCAACCATGGTATCAGCTTGGATGAGATTCCGACGGACAGGCGGCAGAAATTCCTGGATCGACAGAAGAAGATGGGGAACTGAGGTAGAGAACAGAAACATTTCAGTTACTTCAGTCATATTTGACTTCTTTCTTTGTTTGGTTGATTTCAATGTTCTACTTAATGAATCAAAGAAAGTGTTTACAGTTCACTAATGTAGTTGCTGTTGCATTTATATACATGTATACCAACATGTCATGTAAGAGCAACTTGAAAGGCCAGTACACCCAAAAATGAAAATTCATTTACGAATGATTTTTTCCCGCTGTGTAACACACACAAAAAAAAAAAGTATTTTGAAAAGTCAGTGGGGTCCAGTGCTGCTTTGGATTCCACTGAATATCTGTTGTGTTCCACAGAAGAAAGAAAATAAAACAGGTTTGAAAAAACATGAGGGTGAGTAAGTTATGACAGAAGTTATTTATTTATTCATTTTTGTGTGAAATATCCCTATGAGCCATGCAACTTAAGGTTGTTAAACTTCTGTACTCATGCTGTTCTGTTTCTGTGCCTTCCAATAGGTTGTGATGCTCATGTTTCTGCACCAGCCTATCGAATTTAGGAGAAAGTGGGGCAAGGGGATGAAAGGGGTGGATTGAGGTGTTCACCCCATCGACTACCCTTTTCTACTTTATTCTTTCCTAAAAAGAGTGGAAAAGCTCACTAGGGCATCTGACAGGAAGCAAAAACACTTGAACTCTGAATGCCAGCCCATCAAAACCATCAGCTCAACAAGACGGCATGTACCAACTGCTATGGATGGTCACAGAGGACTTTTTTAAAACTGTATAGAGTTTATACTGCAGTTAATCTAATACTAAATTAAAGATACTGCTGAGACAACAGTTCATCAAGACAAGAAAATGAGAGCAGCAGCACACGCCTCATTCATATCTGCAGTTATGCAATCCCTTCAGTTAATGCACTTCTGCAAAGAGATTTTTTTCTTTATTTCATTGTTTATATATATATATACAAAACAAAACAAGCAAAAGCAACAAATTGATGGTGCTTGTTTATAATGACACCTGTCAATTTAGTTATAATTCAGTGGAAATACCGCCAATAATATCAATGTATTGAAATTATTTTAAATTCTGTGTTGATTTTATTTGCTAGGAATATCAGGCTTTAAAAACTAGGTGTTAGTTCAAAAAAGAACTTCTTCACAGTCTCGTTTTGAAAATGCTTTCATTCAGTTTAATTTCATGTGGCACTGTTTCACTTTATTCTTTCCTAAAAAGAGTGGAAAAGCTCACTAGGGCATCTGACAGGAAGCAAAAACACTTGAACTCTGAATGCCAGCCCATCAAAACCATCAGCTCAACAAGACGGCATGTACCAACTGCTATGGATGGTCACAGAGGACTTTTTAAAAACTGTATAGAGTTTATACTGCAGTTCATCTAATACTAAATTAAAGATACTGCTGAGACAACAGTTCATCAAGACAAGAAAATGAGAGCAGCAGCACACGCCTCATTCATATCTGCAGTTATGCAATCCCTTCAGTTAATGCACTTCTGCAAAGAGATTTTTTTCTTTATTTCATTGTTTATATATATATACAAAACAAAACAAGCAAAAGCAACAAATTGATGGTGCTTGTTTATAATGACACCTGTCAATTTAGTTATAATTCAGTGGAAATACCGCCAATAATATCAATGTATTGAAATTATTTTAAATTCTGTGTTGATTTTATTTGCTAGGAATATCAGGCTTTAAAAACTAGGTGTTAGTTCAAAAAAGAACTTCTTCACAGTCTCGTTTTGAAAATGCTTTCATTCAGTTTAATTTCATGTGGCACTGTTTGGCCTTTCTAGAAAGTGAAATGCATTCAGAACAGTTTTCACGGCCAAGCAAACACCTTTCAAATCCAAAATTATATGGCAGAAAATTATTTGGTCTCATCTGAGTGGCTTAACACTGTTGTCCTCTTTGAGTTAAGAGTAAGAGATAATGATATATTAAAAAGGAAACTCGTGAGCTGAGACTCAAATTGTCAGGTTTATAATAGCATGGCACATGATCCTGATATTCGGCACATTCCATGCGTAATACCCTGATGTCAAACCCTGCTTCAAAGTCCTGACCTGCAGTCTGTTACCAAAGAGAAAACTTAACCGAGATTTATCCAAATTCTCAGCACTATATACTTTGCCTGCTCATACACTCAGTAAATGCATGTGCGCCCTAAAGGGGCATTATACTTCATGAATTTTGAATGTGTGGTCTGGATATCTTCATTAAGATAGGAGGGTTCTGGCGCCTGTGGCTGTCCAGGATGACGTTCTGTCACCTGATACCTAAACCACAATCTGGGGAGCTACAATCACAGCAGGATGTAGCTGAATTTCAATTGCAGTCTCACCATTTTTTCTTCTTGTCTGTGATTGTGTAAATAAAAGCTGATTTTAGTGAGTGTGTACATTCTTTCTTAGTATTTAGTCTATCCATCTGCTCATTTAGCTCCATATAAGTAAGTGAACCCTTAATCTACATAGTAACCTTCCTAGAATTATGAAATTTAAATGACACAAGTAGCTGATGCACCACTCCACTGTTGGAACATAAAAACTGTGAAGAAAAATCATTTTATCAACAGCAAAAAAGGTCATAGGATTTCCTCAGTCATCATATATTTTGTTTGTTTGGAGAGTTTTAGATAATGTGTCAACACAAAGTCTTCTACCTGCACATCCGAGTAACAAATATAAACTACAAACATGGAAGTTTCTCCTACACTGAGCAAGAGTTGTGTGTTGACATTATGGGCAAAATAATGTCAACACACAAGAGACAAAGGTCCTAGTTAATTTTGCCATGATGTATTATTATTTTAAACATTTAAACGAGTTGTATATCCGTGCGATTTTAAAAGAAGGAAAGACATCTCTGTTTTGCGTGCATATGTCAGGGCTAATATGACTGATTGCTAAAGACGTGTGGAGGATTGGGTGTCAACTCGCGCTCGGGTGACTCGAGTAAACGGAGTCTGAGCTGAATTATAATTCGCCTAGAACTAGGACATAGACAATGCCAAGCGCTCCGCCTCAGCAGAGTGCAACACAGAGGATAGAGCGGTGAGGAAGGCGCGGGGTGACCCTGAGACCTCGACACAAATGCGTGTGAGAAAAGACAATCTCTGTGATATCCCTCGCAAGGTGCCTCGTTTCCAGTATGTGGATTTCCCTTCTCTGCACCAGTGCATCCAACAGCTTTCTGTGCCTCCACCCAACGGTTGGCTGGGATCCTGCTCATTGACAAAGGCACCAGACTACAGGCCCACCAGTCCTAAGGAAAAGGTTCCCAAGTTTAAATATGTGGACTACCCATCTCTCTACCACTGCATTCAGCAGCTGTCCGTACCTCCATTAGAAAGCTGGAGCGCAGGGCTGGTCAGGTTTAATGCAGAGGGGAAACAGGACGACTCTGGGACTGTGAAGAATAACCTAAGGAATGAGGCAGGAGATCAAAACAACGAGAACAGGAATAGAGTTACTGCATTTTCTTTCCCAAGAGACACACACACCTCAGTCTCAGGTAAGGAGGAGAGGCCTCAATACGACTACACCTCAGAGGTGCGACAGAAGTTAGAGAAAGGTAACGCACCTCTAAGGTCCTGTGCTACTAAACCAAAAGCTGTTTTACAATCAGATTGCGGATTCAGATCAGAATCTGGTTCTGGATCTCATAGCGATGCAGCGGTGGTGAGAAACGACAGACCGTCGGTTATTAACATGGTGCACACAGATAAACAGAAGCACTGGATAAAGGCAGATCACCTGGAAGAACAACTGAACTCTCCTGATTCAGTCAGACAGGTACCGTGGAATACCCTCCCCGAGTCAGTCTGCCCATTCTGCCAACAGATGTTCACAAACCCTGAGCAGTTCAGGGCTCATCAGCAGAGCCATAGAGATAAGGTGACTAATGTTAACTGTTAAATAAACCAACTATTTATAGACAAAGGTTACATCCAGCACAATTTCTCACTTTCTTTTGTGACATACGCAACTATATTCTCTGTATGTAACTTAAAGGGATAGTTCACCCAAAAATGAAAATTCTGCCATTAATCACTCACTCTCATGTTGTTCCAAACCCATAAGACCTTCATTCATCTTCGGAACACAAATTAAGATATTTTTGATGAAATCCAAGAGGTTTCTGATCCATAGACAGCAATGCAACTACCACGTTCAAGGCCTAGAAAGTAAGGTAATCGTTAAAATAGTTCATGTGACAAAAGTGGTTCAACCTTAATTTTATGAAGCTATGAGAATACATTTTGTGTGCAAAGAAAAAAAAAAGACTTGATTCAATAATTTCTTCTCTTCCGTGTCAGTCTTTAATGCGCGTTCACGAGAGTACCTCAACACACGCATGTGATCCTGCTGACACAGGAGCCATAGTTCTGACTTAGAACCCGAATGCGCTGCGCCTTGTGTCTTCTTATAAGCAGAAGAAGACTCACACTGTACATAAAAGTCTTCGTAAACATGTCTGCAGATTTCGACAGAGAGGATGACTTGCAATTTTTTTGCCAAGCCTTACGTATTCGAACCAGAATATACAGACAATGAACACGGAAGAGAAGAAATTGTGGAATAAAGTCATTATTTTTGTTTTCTTTGTGCACAAAAAGTATTCTCGTAGCTTCATAAAATTAAGGTTGAACCACTGATGTCACATGGACTATTCTAACAATGTCCTTACTACCTTTCTGGACCTTGAACGTGGTAGTTCCATTGCTGTCTATGCAGGGTCAGAAAGCTCTCGGATTTCATCAAAAATATCTTAATTTGTATTGCAAAGATGGACGAAGGTCTTACGGGTTTGGAACGACACGAGGGTGAGAAATTAATGACAGAATTTTCATTTTTGTGTGAGCTAAACTTTTAAAGGGATAGTACACCCAAAAATGAAAATTCTGTTATCATTTACTCCCCTTGTAGGTGTTCTAAACCTGTATGAATTTATTTCATCTGCTGAACACAAAAGAAGATATTTTTAAGAATGTGGGTAAACTAAACAATTTCTGGTCCCCATTGCACCGTGTATATATATATACAGTATATATATACTTTTTTTTTCAGTGGGGATCAACAACTAATTACCCACATTCTTCAAATATCTTGTTTTGTGTTTAACAGAAGAAAATAGTTCATACAGGTTTTGGCCAAATTTTCATATCTGGGTGAACTATCACTTTTTTAGTTCCTTTTTAAGTAATTTGTTACAAAATTATGTGGTCAAATTTTTTTCTACATTAAGCTTCATTATTTCTAATTAACAATCACAATGTGTTCACAGAGACCAAACTGATGTGCAGAAGTACTGAGTGAGAACTGCTTTTGGCAAACAGTTAATGCCACATCATATGGAATCGTATCATCAGAGGCCTTCTTGTGTTGTGACTGGCAAAAGTTTTATTGCTGGCAGGACTATAGGGAGATCAAAGACACATTAAACACGTTTGGGTTCAGACCTTAGGGAGAATGCAAGACTTTGTCTTGACTGATGTTATGAAATCTAAAAGGCAGAACTGGACAGACCGAAACAAACAAGCATACAATATGCATGCACATACAGTACACTTACAAGAGTGCTGACGCACACACACACAGTATCCTATTCATGATTCAGAAGAGGTCAAAATCACATAAGGACCATCAGACATAATGGGGTTTCAGCTCAAGACAGGGGATTAGAGCCGGATTTATAGTCTCTTCCACACATATATCAGCGTGTTTACAGGGGTGGGTGACGCTCGATGGACTGGTGCATAAGAGGATGAATTTTATTACATATGTGTTCCCCACACTGTGTGCATAGTGGCAGGCTAAATATTTAGCTTTGGGTGCCTACAAAATAATGGCTATTGTTAATGTCGCACAAACAAACAGGCTTGTTAATAATGATTTGTTACATTAGCTTTTTATTGTTTTGTATTTTTTATGTTTTTGGAAATTAATGTCTAGTGGCTTCGAGCTAGTAGCTTTAAATCTTAAAAATGTACCACTTGTTTTCAAGTATTTAATTGTGAGTAAAGATTTTTTCATACAGAAATAAATGTTTGACTTTTCAGTACAGGCATGCGCTCTGCAAGAAAACTTGTTTGACAGGTTACCTCTCAGGTTCTTAGATGAAGTATTTATGCTTTATATAAACATAAGAGCTAATCCAACATCAACATCTACAGTAGCAAAACTCACTATTTACATTTAAACCTTGAGTCTAAATGGATTTTTTTATATTATGAAATATGTATATTGACCTTTTGTTTATAAACTTTTCCAGGAATATAATGCATTTTTATTACAATAAAGTTCTGATCAGCTAAAAACATGTTTATTTTTTAAGTACTATGCATACATAACTTATAGCAAAGGTCAAGTATTTCACATTTGATATGATTTTAAAATTAGAGAGAAACAGTAACATTGTTTCTTTTATGAATCTCAGAGACAGTTTACGCACCCAAATTTCAATACATGTCTGCAATGGAATATTATGGATTATATTATGGACTGTATATTTTAATTCACAAATACGCAAAAGATTTAAAGGGGTGGTTGACTGTTTTTTTTTATAGGCTTGATTGTGTTTATGGGGGGCAGTCTAACATGTGTTAATGCTTCGTTTGTTAAAAAAACGCAAAAGGTCAAGTATTTCACATTTGATATGATTTTAAAATTAGAGAGAAACAGTAACATTGTTTCTTTTATGAATCTCAGAGACAGTTTACGCACCCAAATTTCAATACATGTTTGCAATGGAATATTATGGATTATATTATGGACTGTATATTTTAATTCACAAATACGCAAAAGATTTAAAGGGGTGGTTGACTGTTTTTTTTATAGGCTTGATTGTGTTAATATACGGTTTTATTGTGATTAAAGCTTTAATACAGTACAGCAACCACACGCGAGTCCATGTATAACGCTTCTCATAACTATAGTATGTGAAAATAAGTGTATTCACTGAGCTGATGATCTGAATGAGAGAGAGAGAGAGAGAGAGAGAGAGATGCAGAGCGTGTGCAGAGCAGGGCGAGGCCAGGAACAGGATGAGAACGCTGCTTTAGAACATTGATTTTCAAACTTGTGAATCCATCAGAATCGTTAGAAGACAGAATCACGATTCATATATGAATAGATTTTTGCGTGCACCTGTAGTTTTCTCTTCCTCTTCTCTAAAGCAGGGCAGCATGGCCTCGCCCCCTTTGCTGCGTGTTCCTGGAGGCGGGGTTTATGTAAAATTCTGGGTTCTTGACGTAACGGACCTGGGAAGTAACTCGTTGTAGTCCCTTACCAGTCGTTTTTGTAGGCATTAAACCGCCAGAATTTTAAAAGACAATATCTCCGTTTGCATTGAACTTTCAGCTTTGTAACTTTGCAGATATTGTTTATGATCAAACAGCAACATTTCACACTAACTAATGTTAAAAAAGTGAAATCGCAATCAACCACCCCTTTAAAATCACTAAAGGTTTAATTATGATGTCATGAATTTCCAGTACTTTCCAGAGCTCAGCTGTGGGGTTTCCTGTAAACAAATGCTGTCGCACGTTCATTCACACACAGAACAGATCGACAGCACAGCACAGACATTTTCGGTGAGGATTTTTAAATAATCTCACTCAAACAGATCAAATGAAACGTACTAGAAGAACCAGAAAAAACTGTGTGGTAGTAAACCCAAACAAGGAAGAGCTGAGAAGCGTGAGAAAGACAGTTATACAGTGGAATGGAAGAGGAAGGACAATAATGGGAACTGGTATTTGTTATTTATTAACCATTTTTACATTTTGAATGGCAAATTATTAATACATTTGTTTATAAATATATTCACAACCATTGAAAAATGACTTTCACTTTCACTTTGTCCTGAGAATACTATGACGCATCATGCCTAATCAATGCTTCAGTTACTCTTATTGCACATTTCACGTTATAATGCTCAAAAAACGTCCAATTATTATTCTGTAGGAAATTCACAGGTGTACGATTTGACTGATGATCTCAGCCAGGAGGGAAGTGTTTTAAAGGTGAGAATACTTTTACGTTGAATACATTCTTGGCTTGTAACTACGATGTTGCATCATTAAATATACAAAAGATCCTTAAAAAGCTGCTTAAAAATAGCAGGTTACCATAAAGACAGTAATGTCTAATGGAGCGCTATTGCTGGCAGTGCTTTTGGTTAAATCACTGGATTAAACTGATCAAATGTGTCACTGTATCTTTTGTCTGTTGTGTGAAGGCGCTTTCTCCTCTCTCTCAAACTCAATCATTAATGAATAACCAATCCGTAAAGACTTCTGGATCTCAGGAAGATGGAAACAATCTAGATCCCACAAACACAGTAAGCACTGCATATCAACTTCATTGCATTGTCATCAACTTAATCTGAACCAGACTCAACATAGTGTCATGAAGTTGTAAATCTTTATTCATTTCCACCCATATCTTACATTTTTCCAAAGTGCCCGGTTTGTTTCTCTGCACTTAAACCTGCATATATAAAAGGTACTACTGATAAACTGCTTCAGTGCACTCGATGCCCAACCACTCAGCTCCTCTGTGGCTCCTGCCTTTACCCCTGCACTTCTGCTGCCTGCACCAACAAGCTGTGCCCCCTCGTCTCCACACTGCTAACCTGTGAATTGGTCTCAGATCCAAAGAGCAGAGTGCTTGGTTGTCCAATGTTCAGAGCCTGTCCCAAGTGTCATAATCTGATTATGCACGAAAAAGGATGCAAGTTTGTAACATGCACAATCACATCATGCTTTCACCAGTTCTGTTTCATCTGCTTGCGAAATGATTGTAGGAAGGATCATGCAAACTACTGGAATCTAACTTGCACAAAGCCGAGAGCAGAAAGACAGAGATTTATGTCACCACAAACCTGAACAGAGATTCCTCCAGGGTTGGACATTGTCTAAAATGCAAATGCAAGAGTTGTCATTTGCAATACAGAAGTAATCAGTAGCAGAATTAATTTCACAAACTCATTCAATATACAAAAGAAATAGAACATTGCACTGATCCCATCTTTCCCCTGTGCTTTGAATCTATGCTATCTATGCCTTACACCTGACTGACTTGGTCTTTGGTTAGCAGGAATAACAACTCAAGTAAACTTCAATAAAGTACAGGATAATGTAGTTAATTGCTTTTAGATTGGTATAAAACTTGTTGGATTTGTGCTGATCAAAATACAGAAGGGATGAAGTTGAGATGAAGTCTGAGCACTGAAACATAGGCAACTAAAGGCTGGAATACACTACACAACTTTTAAAATCTGAATGCTAGGGATCATACACTGACCAACTTTGTAAACAGTCACATACACTACCCGATTTCCTTTGAAATCTGTCAACTCAAATCTGCAGGCTGGCTCTGACTTTCTGCAACTAGCATCCACTTCTGCAGACTGTAAATCAGGGGAGAAATTGGGACAAAAGTATTGTAGTATATTCCAGCCTTTAGATTATTACATAAACCTTGGTCATTTTTTATCATCACTTCATCTCATGCTTTTGGCTATTTCATGTTATTCTTCTGTCAACCTCTCAGGCTGATAGAAAACTTTTAGTTAATACGGTTTTGGGTACAATACAAAATGCAAACTCTGCTGACAGTTTTGGATAACAGACAAAACAGATGTCTATTGACAGGATCTGGTAAAGAGACTGCATTCAGTATTCTGGTGTGGAGATTCAATCTAACTGTATTCATATTAAAGTCTTACACAACAGAGTATTGTCCAGATTCAGGGTCCTATTGTCAGGCACTTTAAATCTTAGGGAAAGAAAGATATTTTTAAAGGCATTAAGGTACAACTGATATCCATTTGACAGATGTGTTTATCCACAGCAGGGACAGTCATTTCAGGGATAAATCCAGGAATATCATCTTAAAGGGATTGTTCACCCAAAAAATTTAATTATTTTATTCACCATCATGTCCTTTATCATGTTAATCTTTGAAACACAAATTAAGATATTTTTAATAAAACATGTTTTGTCCCTTCACTGAAAGTCTAGGTAACTAAAACTTAGAAGATACAAAAAGGTCACAAGGGCATTGTAAAATCCATATGAATCAAGCCGTTTAATCCAATTCTTGTGATTAAATATATAAACGCACATACATAAAGCGCATCACATATGGTAAATATGGATGCTTGTGCATGTGTCACGAGCTACAACAAACCTCATTGATTCCCATGTATCACACACATTTTGAGCTTCTGTATTCACCAAAAGTGATGTCCAATGTATGTGTGTTGATCATTGTTGAGATGTAAATAAAAGGATAATTTTTTTAAGTGATTTATATCACGTTTTTATATTACATTTTAAAACTGCATTTTGGTTCTTGTAAGGTTTGGTTACCTGAACTTTTAATGGAGGGACAGAAACCGCTCAGGTTTCAAAAAAAATTAGAGATGCACCGATTGCAATGTTCTTGGCCGATTCAGATTTTTTTTGTGACCTGCCGATACTGATTTGTACCAATTCTGATTTTCTCTCTAAGAACAATAATTGACAGAATATTTAAAGAAAAATCTATGCAAATTTCAATGCAAAAAATTATTTACATAATAAAATAAATTATTAAACATTACAACTCCCCAAATCTGGACTAAGTTACAGATGTTCTCTCACTTAAACAACTCTCAAAATATCCATCTGCAGTGGAAACAGAAGCTGCATCGGAAGTGGCATTAGATGTATTTAAACAGACTGTTTGATGAAGCTGAGTTGCCATAAATGCATTTATACTACAAAATTTAAAAATGCATAAATAATTTTATAAGATTAATGTTTTACATATTTTTTTTAAACCTACAAATAAATGTTGGGAAAAATGCAATAATACTTTTAAATATAATCAAACCACCAGTAGGTGGCGGCAAATTACTGTTTTAATGAGTGAGTCCTTTAGTCATTCATTCTTTGGCTGCACAATAAATCGCATGCGATTGTCATGCGCATCTCGTCAGTAAAGCAGGTTCTGTGATCAGTAGTGAATCTCCATCACGTGCTTTCAGATGGAACGGCATTTACTACACAGAGCCGTAGTTCGCTGACAAGCTACACAATATCGCGTTCATAATCGAATGCGATTCAACTGCGATTCAACAGCCCTAATTCATTCAACCTATTCGTTCAAACAGCTGATTCAATCAGAAACGAGGCAAGTGACTATATTTATGAATGGGCCACTGAATCATTGACTCAATTGATTCGTTCAAAAACGTGGATTCATTCAGTAACGAAACACTGCTGTGTTACTCCGAGACACACTACAGTTCTGCTGTGATTTTGATCGGAACGATTTTCATTTGCAAAAATGAGCAAAAACAGTCAATATTGTGTCTAAAATGTAAGTCAATTAATTTTAACTTCTTGTTTATTGAACTACTATAGTATAAAATCAGTGTCACACTGCAATCATGTTGATATTGATATTCGGGGAAACATCTTGGCCATGTAATATTGCTTACCTAAATTATATTTTATACTTTTTTTTTTCTAGCGCAGTATGCATCTATAACTTTCTGTGAGTGCTGTTGCGCTCATTTGGATTTCTGCACGAGTCTCTCTCACACACTCATTTAGGCAGTGCAAGCCTCATCTGGCACAAAATAAATACATGTTTACATGTGGATGTATGCGTAAGTGTGACTTCAAAACAGACCGGCTCGGAATCGGCAGACTGACCGGCCGGTCACTGGGCCGGGCCAATCACGAGGAAAATCGGCTAATTCCAGTCCCAGGGCGGTCGATCGGAGCATCTCTATTAAAAATATCTTAAAGGGATCCTATTATGCTCTTTTACAAAGTCTTGATTTTGTTTTTGGGGTGTACTAGAACAGGCTCTCATGCTAGGTTGTTCGAAAAACACATTATTTTTCACATATTTTACATTATTGCAACACCTCTCTCTCCAGTCTGGCATGAACGGCTCGAATAGTTCCTGTATCAAATGAAGGCCCGCCTTCTGAAATACCAAATGTGCTGATTGGTTAGCTGGGCCAGTGTGTGTTGTGATTGGCAGCACTCGGCGCCTGGTCAGGAAATGTCATGCCCCTTACCACAGCCGCCTGCAAGCTTCAGTGTAAATATTGCGTCAAAATCAAATCAATTTGAGAGCGATTTAAAACCGGATGATTGTAACCACTCTAAGTTCGTCTGCCTTGGGAAAGCTAGCGTGTTTTCGACATAGTGATAACACTCGTTGCCTTCTCTAGTGCAGCTCAACCAGGTCTCGTCCCATTCGTCGATATTTGTGATATCACAAATCCCGGAAAATATGCGTTGTAGTCCAAACGAGGCGTTCGTTGTATTTTTTGAAAAGTGATTTCTGTTAAATAAAATATCTCCTTTTGAAGTGGTCTTTGAGCTTTGTAACTTTGCAGATCTTTTTTATGCTCAAACAGCAACATTACAGACTAACTAAATTTGAAAAAGTGAAAAAGCAAAAGATTAACCAAAGTCATTTGGAACAATATGAAGGTGAGTAAATTATTACAGAGTTTTCATTTTTGGGTGAACTATCCATTTAATAAACTTTTGGTTTCTGGGGTGACCCTATATTGGTTTCATCCTGCAACACAAGACTACTATAAATAATGCATTTATACAACTGTTGTCATGAACACTGATGGACCTTCAATCCACCATCATTTCGAAACTTTTTCCCACACTGACCACAAACATAAGGTTTCTCTCCCGTATGGAGGCGGAAGTGGCGTTTGAGTGTCAATGCGTGACGGAAGCGCGCGCTGCAGATGGAGCAAGTGTACGGCCTCTCCCCTGTATGGATCCTCTGATGGATCTTGAGATGGTGCTTACGGTTAAAGTCTCGTCCACACAGGCCACAACGATACAGGTTTCGGCTGGGGGGAAATGCATGGTGCTCAGGGCCATTGCGATTGTTGTTGTGGAGCTTTTGGAAGTGTGTTTGTTGGCCTGAGCTTGAGGATGACAGGAAATCAAAGTCTAGGGGCAGAGAAAAGGGAAAACTACATGAAAAAAACCTTGTATAATGGCATATACCCTTGCTTAAATTGATTAATTAGTCCATAAATGTACTCATTGCAAACTAATATCAACCCCACTTAGGTCTGTCACGATAACAACTTTTTGTTGTGTGATATATTGCCCCAGAAATAATTGCGATAAGCGATATTATTGTCATTTTAAAGACCATTTTATGCCACTGAATATATAATCATAATGTAACAGCATAATAATGCAAGAAGGCCTACACACTTCCAAATGACAACAAACTTTTAATTTTTAAGAATATTTAGATCATGGAAATTAAGTATCAAAATATTAGATGCCTTAAAAAACCTGAATAAATAGTAAATAAACATTTTCTAACAAAAAGTGCAAAGTAACAAGTAGAAAAAAGAAAAATGCACAAAGAACTTGTATGGAGATTTTTCCATCTACAGATTTGTCCCTGACCTTCTTTTCTCTGTAAATTAAGGGTGCACACTATTGCTGAAAAACACAATCACTACTTAGCAGTCAGATATTCGTATGCACAAAGACACAGATCCCTAAACAAGGCCATATCTGCAGATTAAACTTTTTTTGTAGCATTTTTTAAATTTGAACTAGCACCTCATGACTACACCACGTTATGTACAAGAAGCTGCAAAAGACACAGGCGCAAGTGGAACGTACAAAACATGGTGACATTAATTTTTAAGTAAATATAATGGGAGATATATTGCATCACCAAAAATTATTGAGGTCATGTACATATATTGCGCGATAAGTCGATATATTGATTATTGCGACAGGCCTAGCCCCACTAGCATGGAATATTACTTACACAGTACTTACCTAGGGATTGGTTGGTGTACTGGCAGTGCATGTTTGATTGGCAGCTCTCTGACTGCAATGGCTCAGGTCTCCAGTCTTCCAGTAGTCGAGACTGAGCCAGAGAAAGGCTGTCTGAGTTAGGCTCCTCCGCTACAGAGAGGGACACTTGGATTGGGTCACCATAAATCTCCTCTTTCTCTACCTTTACAGCCACTTCCATGGATGACTCCTCACTCAACAATACACTTGTGACTGTCCCAGCACATGCCTGCACAGTTTTGGTCATACTGTGTTGCTCATTCTTGATGTCTGAAAAGGGAGTGACTCATTAAGTTTCATCAATACGGTCCAAAACATGCACAGTAGATTAAAAAAATCGTGTTAAATTTGATTAAAAATGGCAGCTATACCAGAAACAATATGTTAGTAAACCAGTCTATCTGAACCATCAAAATCTACATTTTACCTTAAAATGTACTGATAACCACCATGATAATACAGGTGGGTACATTAGAATACCACATATTGAGTCAGAGTTCATCATAAATGGCCTTAAAACATGACTAATACTTATATACAGACAGGACAGAGGGTCATACAAGACAAAACACCATCAGGGCAACACATATGAAAATAAAGTAATGCTATAAATATTCACACAATAACAGAAATGTAATAAAACACCCTACCGCTGATAACAAAACCAAGAAAAAACTATACTTATAAATTACACATATATATATAACATGTGAAGTGACAGTAAAATTACATATAATGTGATTAAAAAAACGTATATGGTTTGGTAACCAATTAACAGGTTTTTACTCTAGCCTTTTTATAGTCTTCTTTCTGTGAAAGCTGCCTTTTTTAGGCAACTTGAAACTTGAACACTGTCATACGAGTGTAAATGGGTCCCAGCGCTACGACAGCACCACAGTTACGGGTAACAACAACCCACAAGGGTTATAAATGCACAAGGAAAGCGTAAACATGAAGCCAAAATGTGCCAGCTGTTACAGAGGCGGTTTGTTATTGCGAAATCATTGACAGTCGGTCGTTTTAAGTGGTTTAAGCCTTT